AATTTTAATAATAACGTGACAAAATATGGAACAGTGTGAGCATTTTGCCACCTTATGTGTTTGTGGTATAATGCATTAATAATAATAATAATAATAAAATACTTACTCCCATCCTTTTGCTACAATTTGAATTGGAATTATCAATAAGTTTATCATTATTAATATTTAATTTGTTAATTATCTCAGAATTTAAATCCATAGATGAACCTTCAATTACTTGAGTAATTTTGCTTGTAGAAACATCATTTTCTTTTGGCAATTCATAAGAATCTTTTAAATCAATAATTACTGCGTTCTTGTTATTAACAGCTTGATTGTTTATTTCATTAATATCAGTTGACTTGTTAGTATCTAATGCTAAAATCTATTGATGATTTTATATTTAATGATTTTTGATTAAAAGTTGGTTTATATATACTGATAATGCTTTCAATGATTTGCATCCATAATTTGTTTTTCAGTTAGTCCACTCTGAAACAGCCATGTCAAACAGGCTACGTCTTGAATGATTAACTATTTTCCGATCTTGAACATCAATCCCAACATCAATACATATAGTTTTTAGATATGATTTGATCTTCTCACTTTTCATCCTACGGTCAAGGTACCAATTATTTATACTTATAGCTTTAAATAAACAAATATTATATCAGTAAATATTTATAAAAAATTTTACATAAATAAATAAATAATTGCTAAATGTGAGGGGTAGTTATATGACCAGTAGACAAAAAGAAAAGATAGGGTATTGTGTTAAGTAAAAATTCAAATAACTAACTATTTGACACGTTCAATAAATAAAATACCTGAATTGGAGGTGACTTGCAAATAAAATTTTTTAGTCTCACATTTTTCTTGCCTCTTACTAATATATAAATTGAAATCATAAAATGGTCCCAAAATACCAGGTTCATCACACGGACATGGAATTTCAAGACAATCAGAGCTTCCCGATAATCCACCTTGATCATTCTTCTGATGAAATTTTGTAAAAATTAACATATTGTTTCTAAATTGGTATTGATCGATTTTTATTAAGAAGCGTTCTCCCCCGCGGGGACAAAACAAAACACAATTCCATACAAATATACGTCTCACAAGACCTTCAGCTGCATCACGGGAAGTTAAACGATGATTAAGCATTTGTTTGATTTCATCAGTTGATCTAATTATTGTTGAGTTATCATTGTTAGTATGAGTTTTTGATTGTTAACACCCGTTCTTGCATATACAGTCCCCGGCGAAAGTAATGGCGGTACAATGAAACATTATTTTTGCTAAGTTTTTATTAAGTAAATCGATCTTTTTATATTAAATAA